AACGTAGCACTCCTCTATTCTCTGTTTTACCTCATAAATACATGGTGAATCAAAGGGAAAGAATTCTAATATTTCTTTATATTCATAATTACTGTTTAATTTAATATCTAGTCCATGTTTAGAAATAAATGCTTCAGCTATGTTTTTATTAATCCTTCTTAATATACCCTCATTAATTAGTAAGTAAATTATATCCTTATATTTGTTAAAGACATTTTTTTTAAAACAGGTGATGTAAATAAGAGATTGACACAGGTGTATGAATTTAATTTCATTTATTTCTATTAATTTATCATTTAATTGCAAATTATTTTTTACTGTGACAAGGTAAGAATTAAAATATTGCATAAATAAATCAATTGATTTATTCTCTAAGTTTTCTTGTAAATTAAACCTAACAATTATTCCAACATAAAATGATAAAAAATATGAGAAATATTTTTTTTCTTTGAGTTTTTTAAAGAAAAAATTTAGCACTTTTTTAGGATACTTTTTTAATAATTCAAAAATAATGAACTGAATATTCTTAGTATTTGACAAGAGAATGTAATCATTGATAATTTTTAAAAGAAAATTAATATCAAAGGAATCTAATGAATCAAAGAGAGTCATAAGACCATCCCTAAGATTGTTATATTTGTTAAGAGTAGCTTTATTGAGTGAACAAGCTTCTTTAGGTGTATTCATAGGATTTAAGTCATCAAAAGAATCTTCTAGACTATGCTTGAGAGAAGAAACATAGCAATCCAGGTCTACAAGTGAACCAATCAATCTTTTTAAATATATTTCTCTAAGGAGGCTATCCTGAGGCATTGTGTTAGTAAATACTCTTTTAGTTTTAATCTGCTCAATTAAATCCAGTCTTTCTTTAAATGACATAGGAAGGATAAAATAATTTTTGATATTAAAATATTTTTAAAATAAATTTAATTAATTTAATTTTGACTTTTATTTGATTTTAAAAGTAAGAAAAATTATAAATAAATACTTTTTTCCAAAACCAAATTATATTAAAACAATATTTAATTATAAATGTATATTTAAATATTTATAAAATAAAGTTCTTTCTTTGCATTGTATGAAAATCTTATCAAAATAAAAATAATATTTAATTTAAAAAAATTTTAAATATTGTTAATTAAAAAAAATTACAAATGCATTTTTGTCCAGATTGTGATAACATGTTAGTTATGAAAAAAGATCAACTCTCCTACTCTTACTGTTGTAATACATGTTCGTACCAAAAAGACTTATATGTTGCATTAAAACATACTGTAGAATATATAACTAGGAAAGAGGATCTGGTTTGGAATGAGGAGGATGAAAGTAAAACACTAGATTTTTGTGAAAAGCTATGTGAGTGTGGAGAAACAAGAGTCTCTTATTTCCAAATGCAAACTAGAAGTGCTGATGAACCTATGACCATATTTTATAAATGTACAAGTTGTAAAGCTACATGGAGAGAATAAATAATATATATTTTTAAAAATATCTTATGTAAAATTAGTTGGCTTACTAGCTTAGTCGGTAGAGCAGTGCTTTCGTAAAGCAAAGGTCGAGGGTTCGATTCCCTCGTGAGCCTTTTTTGGAATTTCAACCTTTTATGCTTCCAGCACTAAATTTGTTTTTAAAACATACCTATTTGCTTATATTAGAGATGAAATATATAAATAT